GTGTAGGAGTGAGGAAGAGGGAGGGGTCCCAGATGGGGTGGGGCCTCGGCCTCCTTTGGTGGGTGGAGGGTGCCCAAGGGCAGGACGGGCTGAGGGAGAAGGTGATGGGTGACCATTGGCAGGCTTACATCAGGGTGTCTGCGGGCTTCTGGCAGCAAGTCCCGGACGTGGCTGGAAAGGCAGGTTTTACAGAAAATGGACCAGAGGGGTTGTTTTTGCCAACTTTCCCCAAAAGAAAAAAGGCCATGCCAGGATTTGAACCTGGATCTGTCACCCCGGGAAATCTGCACTCTCATATTGAGGAACCAGCTAAGATGCAGCACTTTCTCTATCTCTTGGGCTCCCTGACACTGGACTTGGCATGCAGCTCAGTGCTTTTACCCAGGAGTCGGGGCTCTTCTTGGGGACCCATTGCAGCCATCTCCATCTTGCAGAGCTCAGCAGTCTCAGGGGTTCTGCCAGCAGGATCTTCAAGCCCAAACTTCTGTTTGGAGAAGGACCATCTCAAGCAGCCCCAGCCTTCCTGGTCTCCCAACACCAGGGGTTGCCTAGAAGCCACGCGGAGCCCTGTGAGTACTGACAGCCAACATTAGCTGGGCACTGACTGGGCGCAGGCGCTACGCCAAGCACCTCGCAGGCTCCCTCCCTCTTAATCCTCACAGCAGCCCTTCCAGTGCTATTATTATTGTTTCCATTTACAGACCAGGGAACCAACTGAAGCTTCCAGAGGTCAAGGGCCTTGTCCCACTCCACCGTGGGGCGGGTAACGCTGCTGTGTGACCTGGGCCCCACATATAAAGTGAGGGACTTTGCTTGAGGGCCCCCAGAACCTCATACCCCATCCCTGACTTTGGGTCTGCAGTTCCAGCTCCCAGGACTTTCCCACCCCTTGCCCCAGCATGCTGTTCCTCAGGGCCCAGCTCCCTTGAGAACAGCCAGGCCCACCCCCTCCCCCTCCCGGGCTGTGCTCCTGGCAGCTCTGCCGCCCTAGGCTCTGGTCCGGGGGTGGTCCCTGGCAGAGAGGGGGCCGGGCCGAAGATGGGATGCTGGGGCTGAGATGCGGGGTATTCAGAGACCCCCAGGCCCCCACCTCAGAGTCCACTGTGCTCTAGGCTGGGGTGGGCAGGGCCTTTTGGAAAGGGGTGGCTTGGGGTTTTAATCACTTTTTCAATGTTTGTTTGTGTATTTCAGCCCCGAAATGCTTTTCCCTCCATCTGTCCCACCATCTGCTCCCGTCAGGATTTTCCAAACCGTTTGGGACCAAAGAGGCAACAAGGTGGGGGG